CGTGCTATGATGTATTCGGCCTTCGAATCTGGCCTTCAAAGGAAGCATCCCATAAAATGAATGCAGCCCATGTGTATTATAAATATAAATGTTCAACAAAAATATTAAATTAATAGAACTAACATAGAAACACTAAAAAATAAACAACAAGGAAATAAACAGGTATGAGATGGAAATCCAAAAACACCTATCACCCAGGGATCGTGGGAGCTTTTCAAAAGCAAGCAGTTTAGCTTGAGGAATTAACAAAACTCCCAGCAAGATGTGGCAAGCTCTTAGAGGATTTGCCTCACACGGTTATTCAACTAGGTTTTGACTTCAGGTTGTGGTGGTTTCTGCTATTTTGTCCTATTTTTTTGTGTGTGCGTGTCACAATAAACAAAAAATACTTCTTTAAGTTCTGTGTGCTTCTTGAGTTTTTATGTAACCAAACATGAACAATTCAAAGGGATGTGGATATATTAGGAAGCCAATTTGAGTAAAGAGAGCACAGATGCTCTGCTCTAATCCAGCTCCATGCCTCAATGTAGGACATGACAGACAGAAAACAGTGCTGCAGTAGTTTTTATTTATTTGAAAGTCCTACAGTGTTTCAATAAAAGCCTCGGATCCTATTTAAAAAAAAAACTAATTTAAATTCAAATAAGCTGGAAATTCAAAACACAACAGTTGGCCTCTTCTATGACACAGGAACCATATTCAAAGAGTTGAGTTTTGACATGGAAACCTGCCACTGATCACCTAAAAATCCCTTGATCAGGCACCAAACTGATGCCAGGGATCACATTGAGAAATCCCTAATTGTTTATTAAATTCCAATCGGCAAATTCTTCCTCTTTTGTAAAACATAGTTTCACCTTACAAACTATTGATGCCTTTTAGAAGTCAGGGTTACAATCATTCGCTAAGCAACTGAATAATAAGTAGTAGGCAACTCTTTCTCTACCGTTTTTTGTTCGACATGGAAACAACGTCTCATATCCTAAATGTAAGTATAGTTTTAATGTACATTTCAGGAAGCATATTTAAAAACAATCTCAAACTATTTGCTTTGACATTGTATTACACATATGTTTTTTCCTACCTCTTTAAAATGTCTTCAGCTAGAATTAAATCTTATGCCTGATAGGTTACTGCAGTGTCCGGCTCTAATATTTCTTCCCCTGTGATCGATTTTATATGCTAAAATAGAGACAAAACAACAAAAGCAAGGAAGTCAAGCTCTAGCGTACCCTGGAGGACATCCTTCTTTCCTCCATGCTGTGGGAGGACTGTCACATTTGTACACGGTAATGTGAAGTGAATCAGTCTTAATATGGTAATGGATGTCTAGAATAAAATTGAAGAACTCAGTCAATTTACAAGCTGGAAACACAAGCAAAGAAACTGGAATAAAACAGTTAATAATATAGTTCCAAATAATATAGTAAATTGAGCTGATCATAAGCATCTGAAGGTACCAGTGCTTCCTTACGCATAAAGCCATCCTCCAATATGTAACAGAAGAGGAGGGGCTGTTTCTGAATTTGGAGGGCAGCTCCCTGGCTGCACAGCAAAGCACCAGCGTACCAATCAGGTGGCTGTGGTGTTGGCTTCCATTTGTTTTGTATACTGTACCTCTGTCCCCTCCCTCCATGTGAGCTTTAAAACCAGGGAGAGACGGAGTGTTGATTCCAGAGCCTTCCATCCTCCCTAATTGAAGCTATTAGCTATCAAAATCAACTCTCCCTGAAGTGTTCCAGACTATAGATCGATTTATAAAAAAAAAAATGACACAAATTTGATTTAAGTAGAATCTCTTCTTATGTTTGCATTGAGGTCTTTCCCTCAACCATCTGGATGAGTGTTGCATGTACCCTTTTTTCCAGGACTGAAAATTATCACCAATTGATGAAAAAAAACCTTTGTCTCCTCTTCACATCGTCACTAAGAAGTGACACGTACTGTTCCCTGTAGGTATGTATTCAGTCAAAATACTCACCCCTGTGCTTCTTGGTTATTCTTTCTTTCCAAATTGCTGCATATGTTATTTTTTCTTTAGTTTGTTTTTATTTCGACTAATGTCAGTAATTAGGCAAGCACAGTCTGTTTGCATGTGGAGCTTCTTAGAACTCTGCAATATGCTAAATAAGAAGGCATGCCTATCCTAAAATAGCTCTGAGGTTGAGTGAAGCCAAAGATCTTTGTGGATGCTTGACCACAGATTTCTGGCTCTCTGTGTCTTCTCTATATGTGGTTCAATAAATTGGGCTCTGTAGAAGCAGAGAGTATCCATGTTTAATTCATAAGCTGGTTTTGTTTTGAAACAGAAGTTCATTTAATTCATTCAATTTATTAATTGCAAGGCTTTAACAATCATATTCTGTTTGGTTTTGTGTGTTCTCTCATGCAGATGAAAGAATCTACCTGTGTCTAGTAAAGCATAGGTTTTTACTTGTGTTTTTTTTTTCTTTGTAGCCCTCACCATGAGATAAAAGCTACTTCATTTTGCATTTCCTTCCCACATAAGTTTAATCTTTAATCTAATTTCTGACTCATCGACATGCATCCTCAGTATTTTGCCTTTAGCCAACTTTAGCTATTTGTACATATTAAGATTTTAATGTGAGTTTCAGTCTGTCTTGTATGTTAGAAAGGGGAATGTTTAACTCTTACATCTTTTGACTCACTTTCCTGTAAGCGCTCTTTGTGTATCTTAAAACGGCTGATATATAAAGGAAGTAGAGATTAAATCAAAGTGCCAGTCTGAGTGGAAAATTACTGAAAGGTGAACAGATGTATGTTTGATCCTGAACGCTATTGTTTTACAGAATTAAACTGCAATTCTGGACATGTTTTGAAAGCAACACTGCAGGAAACTCTTGAGACAGAGACAGAATAACTACAAAAAACTTATCAAAAACAAGAAAACAGCAACGAAAAAATAAATAAATAAATAAATAAATAAAACAAATAGACCTTTCCAGTTTTCTGTCCACTGCTCTCCATCCAAGGTTATATTCAGGATTGTATTCAGATGACGTTCAGGTTCATTTTAAAATCCCAGGAGTTGTTGTAAGCTTTTGGAGCTGTTTTCCTAACTTTGTTATCACCATAGAGGAAACCCAAACAGATTATTGTGCCTGATATTCGAGGTGCAAAATATATTGTAATTGGGCTGTTAATCAGCAAACACCTATCCATCATATTTATCCTGAAACAGTAGCACAAAGAGTGATTGCCAGGGATGGGAGAAAATCCATCAGCTAACAAACAGGCTGCATGTCTACTGTCAGCACTGGATGAATGAGGTAATCTCTTGATATGCCAAATGCATTTTTGGATGAACTGCTTGTCATGATGTGCTGTTACAGATGAGTTATTTGAATCTTAAAGCTGTGGATTTCGCTCTATTGCAGCTTTTTCAAAAATATATCATTGTTTACAAGAAAATGGTTTGAAAGTCTATTCATTACCAGGATCTATGTTTACTATGAACCCCAAACAGAAGAAATTTCCACAGTTAATATTACTGGGTTAATAATCCAAAATTACCAACTAGTGTCTGTCATGATTTTGCCCTTTGTGGACTTCTGTTTAAATTTCTTTTTAAGTTCTCAGTTCCACTTTGATTTAGGTTATTCTTTGTTTTATTGATCATTGGTTTCATTTTCATTTTGTTATCTTTAAGCAGTGTATGTGTTTTTTAAGTAACTCTCTGTTGCCCCCATGTGCCAGTCTCCTTTCCCTTCGCACCTTCTAGTTACTTCTGTCTACACCTGCTCCTAGATAATTAGTCCTCCCATTGTTTCTGTCTCCCATATATACACCTCCTGTTCAGTTACTCTGCTGTATCCTTATCATTTTTTGGTTTATTGTCCCGTTGTGTATCCTAGCTTTTTTGCTTCTTGAGTTTTCCTTGTGGATCAGTTCTTAGCTTTGGATTTTGTTTTTTTCACCTTAGCTCCCGTCTCTCCATTTGAGTCCTATAAAAATCTCCACACAACCTGACAACATCAAATATTGCGAATTATAAAATAGCTTTCAGCTGTAGTTTCTCATTTGATAAAGTATTTTAGTGGTGGATTATGTCCACTCATTTCCCTTTTTAAAATCATATTGTTTACATGTCTTTGTAGCCTGAGGTTAAAATCCCAACTTCGACTGTGCCCAATTACTTTTTATTTTTCATGAATATGCTTTTTTTCTGTTGATCAATTGTTATAGTTGTTTAAAAATATGTTGGCTGTCTATTTTGATCTTAAATTACAGTTGGTCAGTCCAAAATATTCTTTGTGGTTCTTTGTTGTCAACAGCAGTGTCTTTAATACTGATATCACAAATAACGTTTTTAGACTGACCAACACAATCTCTTAGCTTATATAATCATGAGTTATATACAAATATTTTTGATGAAAATGGCTGTTATTTTGGAATAAAACCAATGGATCAGTACTAGTACTAGCAATAGATATGCTGTTTAAAAGCCGTAAAACCTGACGTTATCCAATGAAAAATGTCGTTATCAATTGAACACCAACGTGAGCTTTGTGTGTTGCTCTCGTTCACGTTCTTTACTTTAAAACTGATCTGTCAGTTCACCGTTTCAATTCAGTGGACGCAGTTCATTGAACATCTTCAAACATAACACTAGCCGTCCCAGAGTTAGAATCCAAAGCTAATTGCAATCTCCAAATGGCATAATGATCTTAAAGGACATGGAGCAACAAGGAAAACATAGATGTGGTTGTGTTCCAATTGTCAACTTTTTGGCTGATCGGAACACAAAGGACGACCAAATACATTAGCCCAATTTACACTACAAACTGTTGAGTGTAAATGGCAACTGAACCGGACCACGCCATACAAAACCGAACCGCACTAACATGGTGCTAGTTCATCAGTAGGGCTCCGTTCCTCTGGCTTGGTTCTCTGATAACAAAGTGCATATGAGCAGACCGCATCATCTCCTTACAGTCAGCCTCAGTAATCACGAAAATTCAGACATTCATAAAAATACTAGCTTCCCTACTGTGCCACACGATTTCCAGGGATGATTATGCTTAGGAGTGTGATTATCATTGTTTTCTGCTTCTGTAAGCCCTAATTAGACTATCATTTGTCGTAACCACTTCCAAAAAGCCGACTGTTAAGTAAATTCACATAAGGCTGCCTTCTTCGCCTGAATCTTAGCAAAGTTCCTGAATGTTACTGGCACCGCCATGTTGGTTTGCTTGTTTCCCTCTAGAGAGCAGTAGTACCGTAGATCGTCACTAGGAGGCGAGGAATCGTGCTAGAGTGTTGTGTAAATGGTTGTAAAGAATCAGCTTGGTTAACTGATCCAAGCTTGGCACGGATCCGTTTTCATAAGGTAGTGTAAATGGGGCTATTGTGAACTGAGGTTTGCAAGATATGTGTAAAAAATTACACATATTTTCCACTTTTTGTGTGCTTTAGTTTCACAAGTACTAAAATATAGATCAGTTAGGGCAGGCTGAATGATTAAAGCACATTCAACAGTCAAAGTATATCTATTGCACACTCAGTACTGCGTCACATTTTTGTCAAAACCCCCGAGGGCAAAATAAACATCCTTGGAAGTACATTAAACTACTTTCGCACATGAATAGTTAGATTGGTATCACACACAAGTGCTTGCTCCTTCCCTGTACGCATGTGGATCAAACCACATGTGTGCAGGGAAAGAAAAAGCACTCTTGTGTGACATATTTGGGCCTAGTGGTACTCTGTTTGCGTATGTAACACGTGAAACATGCCAGTGAAGAGTAGTTTATGAGCGTCTGTATGAAGTAAAGTTGCTTGTAGGGAGCATTTTTTGTGTGTAACTTTTGACAGAATCCCAACGCCATACCATCATCTCGAGGCACTTTACAGAGACAATTCAATCACATTATACAGTTAGATTGGTTAAAAAAAAAAAAAAAAAAGTTTTCCACCTACAGAAAACTAGCTGATTTCATTGAGTCGTTGACTTTAAGCTCCTCCTGGATGAGCTTGTGATAATTATATTTGCTTGCATTTTGGTGTTGACTCCTCAGCAATTCCTCACACCAAACATGCATGCAGCGACACTGGAGAGGAAAAACTCCCTTTTAACAGGAAGAAACCTCCAGCAGAACCACACTTAGTATGAGTGGTCTTCTGTTGAGGCTAACTGGGGGTTAAAGGAGAGCAAATTAGATATAAGAGATGTTTATAAAAGCCCTGATCTACACAAACTACATTTTAGAAAAGATAATAGTAAACTAGCTCCACAGTTGACTCTGTATAGGAGAGAAGCAGTAAAGTTGATGAGCTATAACCATCAGAATTGTTAAGGCACCCTTAGAAATAATAATAGGCTCTTTGGCTGTTTTTGATTGATGTTAAGGTCACACAGACAAAATCCTGAGTTGAGTCTGAACATTAGTAATCACCTGCCTAGTAACGTAAAGGCCATCAGGTTTTATGTTTTTCTTTTAGTATGGTCTTGCTACTGTTACTGCCTGCAAATATGAGTTAAATGTTAACTTGTCATCCTATAAAGAAATAATATGTCCATACACTGGATCTAAATATGTTGAAAGTTTTGCTTGGATTCAATAAAGACTTGCAACATCAGCAGAACACATATGATTTACCCTATATCATATAACGATTAGTTTTGACACCTTTTACTTGCATGCTTGAAAACTTCCAGTATAAAAGTTGATGAACATAACAGCCCAATGAGGATATGTTTCTGGATAGTAGTTGTGGGTCCTTTATAATAAACAAACCAGTATAAACTCTAAAGTAGGTCTCCACATATATACTGCAGATCCCCAACCAGGGATACCCCCCAAACATCTCGCTGCTCCATGAAATGTGTGGCTTACTGTTACATCGGAGTTAGGGAGGCCTACCAAAATAGCCTGTACTGTGGAAATCATAGACGCTTAAATAGAACAGAGAGGCCGTAGTGGAAAGGAAAATACCTTGCAAAGTTCACCAATGAACACTAAGTCAACTTTTACATTACCACTGGATTGAATTTCCATTTTTCATACTGTTAATCTACCTGCTGTTCTAGGGGCAGTAGTAGCTATGTAGCCCCCATAATAATTACTGGTCAATATTCAAGCTGTAGTTGGACTTTTATGGGGAAAAAGTTTCTTTCTTTGGCAGAACAGAATTTGTTTGACCTGTGTAAACGAAATGCTGAAGCTTTGTGTGTTTTCTGTTTCAGTAGTTTAGAAATGCCATGCAGCATTCATTTCAATCAGGTGTAGAAAAACTGCAATTCATTTGAGATTCAGTGCTGGCACAGACACACCACTGGCTTTACCTTCTCACAGGCTGAAAAAGATGATCAGTGTGGATTTATTTTTTGTTCCAACTGACAAAAATAGACTAGTATTAGAGCTATACGGGTGAATAACTCTTATTAACCAGACCTGGATCCATGAACAGGAAAAGTTTAAATAATTATCCGATATGTAGTTTTTTTCATCCTGCATCTGTCCTGTTGTTGCTCATTAGCTGCATGGTCATGGTCTTTATGATAACAGTTAGACACAGATGAACACAATTATTTTTTGTTGATTATAATAATGAGCAGGTAAGCTAAGCTCAGATATCTGCATCAGAAAGAAAACGTTTTCACTCACAGTTTTATTTGTCAGAATAACCAAAAAACCTGTACACAGTTATAGGGAATTGATAAGTTGACAGTCTAATTCTAACATATTAAAATTATTTGAAAGATAACAGTTGGAAAATGGTCCCTGGGAGCTTGGATATTGCATCAAGCTGTGGTCTCACCTTCTAGAAAACAAAATTTTAAAAGTAATGAAGAGCTCATACTCCTTTACTAGGTTAGGTGTACATGAAAAAAAAAAAAAAAAAGGAAAACCGATATTTTATTATCGCCTCTTTTTAATCATAAGAACTCAAAATATTTTTCTAAATTAACAGTCACCAAAGTTTATAATTAACACCCACATTAATTCAAAACTTGCGAGCACAGTTCATATTTTGCTGATTAGAGGCTGTATTAACTGAGGATTTCTAGTACTGTCTGTATGTCAGCAAAGCGTTGCTGCTCTGAAAATATTTTAAACATTTGAAACTTACTTCATACATTTAAAGAATGAAATGCACAAATGAGGTTGTTAGGTTTATTCAATGATGATTATAAAATTAATGTATATGCATATAGAACATTGAGAAATGAGATGCTTCACTATGTCTTATGATTCAACCAGAAGCCGCTCTGTCTTGTGATTCAGTCAGTGGAGCATTCTGTCTTATGACCTGATCAATTGTCCTTTCAGAAAAATACTCTGTTTTGTAACCATGTGTTATGTTCTGTTAATAAAAAGGCTCTGCAGAGGAGGTCCGAGGGAGAGAGAGAGTTGGAGTGTTGGGTTTGGCTCTCTTCTCCTTCTGCAGAAGCTGTTGTTGAAAATCCCTCTCTGTGTGAAATCAGTCCTTCTTTTACGAACCTACATTTTTTAACCTAACAGAGGTTTGAGGTGTAATTTCTTCCTTATAAACGTCTTGAAAATACTCTTTTTGTGACAAATTAATTAGCAAGAAATTAAAAAGAAAACAGAAGTATTTAGAGGGGAAACCCAACTCCAGCAGCTGGCTGAACTAATAGAAAGGAAGGGCTGCCTTCTCCACTTCTTTGACATCTTAGTTTTTTGGTTTGCAAAACAAAGTTCAGATGTTCCTGAAGTTATTTTTTTATAGTTTTTTTTAATTATTTAAATTTTTATTTGAAAGAAGAAATCCCCTGCAATTTTCATCCCATTCTTCTCAACTAGCCTGCCTCCCATTTGTCATTTTTGCTTTAGTTTTGTAGTTCCCTTGTACAGTTAAGTCTGACTGCCTGTTTTTGAGTTTTACATATTGAAATATAAATGAAATATGCATTTTGTAAAGTATTGAAAAATCATACTTTTGTATGTACTGGGGAAGTGGTGGCCTAGTGGTTAGGACATAGAGCTTGGAATCCTGAGTTCCTGAGTTCGAGTCCCACTGTCACTCTGGCTCCCTGAGCAAAGACCCTTAACCCCACACTGCTCCCGGGCGCCGCACAATGGCAGCCCACTGCTCCCCAAGGGGATGGGTTAAATGTAGAGAGTTAATTTCTTTGTAACAGAATAATAAGTACTAAACAATCAAAGCATTTTCCTCCATTCTTTCTTTAAACAGGAAACACCTGCAGAACTTTCTCAGAATGGCTCTCAACATCCCGGGTCTAGTCGTAATGGCATTGTTCTACATCGTGATTTTGGGTACAGGCATTTGGGCATCCATGCGCTCCAAGAGGGTGGAGAAAAAATGCACAGGAGGCGGCATGGAGATAACACTCTTGGCTGGACGCAACATTAACTTGCTTGTTGGGATTTTCACTCTTACTGGTAAAAAAAGTGCAAATGGCTTCAAGTTGGAAAAAATTTGGAAAAGTCTGTTTAAACCACACTATAATAAGACATTTATCCTTTTTTCTTTGCAGCAACGTGGGTGGGTGGAGGTTTCATTCTAGGGATTGCTGAGGCAACATACAACCCAACACTTGGTGCAGTTTGGGCACTCATGCCTGTGCCTTATGTCGTGACCTTCTTCTTAGGTGAGTGAAGTTTGGTGATGGCTGCCTGTATAGTGTCACCATAGTGATGACCATGCTGTAAAGAATTATGAGGTACAAGAATTGCCAGGTCTAACTGGCAACTAAATTCAATGAATTTATTTGGGATTATATATCAGTTAATTGACACAATACAGCACATTACTGTTAAGTGGCAGGAAATTATGCATAGATTCCCTACTTTGTAACAAACAAAATATGAATAATGTGATATATATATATATATATATATATATATATACAGTATATATATGTGTGTTCAGTCCTCACTATCTCACTCCATAACTAATCACACTTGTCATCCACATATCTTCAAGCAGGCCGTTAGCCGAAATGAGAGGAAAGTGACACTCACAACTAACCAACTGGTAGGAACATAGTGTGCTGAATGGGTAAACATAATCTGAAGAAGCTTCCAGGCAGATAATTTACATCAAGGAATTGTATTCATTGAGGTTCTCCGAATCATTCTAGGAATGATTTCAGGCCTAGGCAGATACAGGATAGCTGGTCAAGAGTGGATGAGAAGGTGTTAAAGTCCACAAAAGGCTTTACACTGGGACAGGGGTTCCCCTTCCTTTAGGTAAACTCTAAACTTACAACCAGAGCTAAAGTGAAATGATCTGGATTAACACACATTTACGCTGTAGAATCACAACGTATGAAGCCCTCCTTGTATGTGCTCTAAATTTGAGTTAAAACTAAACATGCAAAAATTTAAGCCTTTTAAATGCTTAGCACTAGGGAAGACATAACATTAAAGAACAATATAAACATCTCTTATATGCAAAGAAATTTCAAACGTATTCATTAATAGATTATTTAATGAAAGTTCCTGTAAGACAGTTGGTGCTAGATGTTTGCTTAGCAACAAACCTATGACAAGCACACACATTTTCCCGGTTATAATACGTATCATGGGAGCAAACTCAACATAAATGTTTTTTTAGCTTGTTTGGAAAACAAACTGCATTGCGCTCTCCCCAAGCTCAGTTTGACTGCATGGATCATTAAATGGGCTGCTCGTGATAAAAATAGGTCTGTGAGCAATCAGGCAGCAGGTGCAATGTAATGTGTTCAACCTAGAAGTTTTGAAGGTTATATTTGAATGAGCCAAACTAACAAGCTTATTTGTTTGCTTGTATAACTTTACAGCAGCTAAAATAACCTACACTTGGAGTGGACTATGAGCTGTTGGAGCAATGCTAAGTGAAAACCCCAGTCTCTGAGCAGGAAATATACCATTCCCCATTCTGTGGTAGTCTGTTGTTGACCATAAGAGTGTTTGATCTCAGATCAAGCTGTTTATTGTGTTATCAGGAAGGAACATTAGTGTCTGCTATTGTTCACATATAAGAGTCCTTTCACTTTCCTGCTTTTCCTTTTCCTCTTCTATTCACCTGGGTGTTTAAATGACAGAAATATGACTGTCCCCAACAGTAATCTCTAGTTAATTTCCACATGTAAATGATCCTGCTGATCTCCCTCTGCAGGTGGCTTCTTCTTTGCCAAGCCTATGAGAGAGAACAAGTACATGACAATGATGGATCCTTTCCAGAAGAAATACGGGAACGTCCTGAGCAGTGCACTCATCTTTCCTGCGCTTGTGGCCGATGTGCTTTGGGTGGCACGCACACTTGTCAGCCTGGGTACGTTATGTCACACTGTATAACTGTCATTTAACTGTGTGCTGGATCACCCCTCAGTGAACAACATTTGCATTAATGTGAGAGTAGAACAACATTTAACACATCAGTTTATCAGTGTAGAGCCCAAAACAAGAAGCAAGAAAAACATGTAATAAAAAGGTTTACACTTTTTATTAATGAGGATTTAGCTCTGTCTACACAGTGTATCGGGTCATTTTTAACAACATACAAAGAGCTTTACGCAATATATTTTGAGATGGAAGTAAAACTTTAATTAATGCATTTCCTTTTATTTCAACTCACTCAGGGATAAATCATTCCTGTAATGCCATTTTAGATGGTTATGTACATTTTGCATTAAAAACAGCATTTAGTTTATTTTATACTAGGGAAACAAGATAATGAGTATTCGATGTGAAACAAAAAATGTCATCAGCCTGAAGGCGGACACTGTATAACAAAATATATTGATGCTATTAAGGTGAAATAAGAGGATGCTCTGTTCCTACATCATTTCCACAGGGTTCATTTGATTGACAGTGAGAGAAGAAGCCACATATACAATGCAAAAAACTGTAATCTAAATAACTCATTTTTCTTTAATTTAAGTGCTTTTTTTCTTCAATTGAGGAGGTTGGTGAGACACTGCCAATGAAACAAAAATAATTTACATTTGACATAAGAAAAAACAATTATATTGTCTTATTTCACGTGCATATTATCCAATTATCTTATATGAAGAGTAAAAATACTCAAAAAAATACTGAAATATTATGTGTTTACATATAGAAATTAAGGCTAAATACACTTAATTTAAGAAATTTGTACTTGTTTCTAGATTTTTTTGTGCAGTGTAAGAGTTAGCAATTAAATTTAAATTTATTTATGCGATTGATATATCCATGAGACTGCACAAAAACGACCCCTTTCCCTCAAAATGTTCAGAAGTAGTCTGAAGCATTCTAACTCACCTGAACTTTTTAAAGATCCAGAGTGAATCTTCACTAGTCTGTTTCTCACAATACACACCTTGACCGACCCGGATGCTCCCTCTGGATCAGTACCATGCTGCAAGTCTGCCTTTACTTTGGTTGGTTCAAATAAAAAAAACACGTTGCAAACATATCTTTAAATTCATTATGCATTTGTTTTTTCTCATTGTGAAAATATTTTAAATGTTTCATTTTTACCTCTGCATACTTTTGATTTTTAGAATTCACACAATTTACAGAAACATTGTTTTTGACTTTGTGTATTAATGTATCTAATGAATATATGTGCTGTGTGTGAGTGACTGTGTGTCTGGGTCGGGGTGCGGGAGTGAGATATGAACATTATCAACATAAATTATATTTTTTTTGTAATGACATAAACTAACTGAGATTCGGTTTCCATGTATCATGCAATAGGTTTAAACTAACCAAAGTGATTCAGTGTGTCAGCTAGTGGAGAATTATAATAATAATAATTATAATAATAATATATAATAATTATTATAATCATAATTTAAATTCTGCATTTTGGGAAAAACACAAACTTTTATTATTTTATGCACAAACAAAGTAGTGCATCATTGGAGAAAGCAAAAAGATGATTCTTTTTTTTTTTTTTTTTTTTTTTTTTTTTTACAAACG